TATATTGTTTCCAAAAATCGAGCGCTTGTCAGAGCACCACAATTGTAGGTCAATCATCATATCAAAATCCAGATGTCGGTTCGGTCTTCAACTTTCAGTAATCAGTAATAATTACAAATTAATTATTAATTCAAACAGTTCTTTTTGTTTGTGACTTGTCAAATGTCAATTGTGAATTGACAGTGCAAATTAAATCACATTAAACTCAAAAGCTTTGTACAGAGTGCAAACAGTCAAAGCCAGAAATCAGAATGGTGGGCTCTTCCGTAATCTGATTTTCAGAATCTTTTTTGTGAATCTTCTACTTTCTATTCTATATTCGAGCTAAACAATTTCTATAACATCTTTGAAGTTTAAAACTGGTCACTGGAGAGTGGAGAGTGGCGACAGTAATCAGTAGAATGCAGATTGCAGTAGACACTAGACAGTAAATATTTAACAGCAAAGTGCAACTGTCAATTGTCAAAGTGGTCAAACAATTGTTTCTCAGAAGTTTTATTCAGATTTAAGTCTTGAATAATTCGAGTTGGCAGGGAAATGGACAAATACCCGAGTGATGAAGTATAATCATGTCGTGGTGCAGGGGAAACGTACCCTTGCTAATATACTGTCAACAGCAAAAAAAAAGCATCATCAAACTTGTCAGCCTTGAATTTGATTTTGGTGCCAATCTTAATAACTGTACAGGCCCCAGTGACCTACTTCAGTTCATTATGGAGAGGCAACTGGCAACACTGTACCCAGAGGTAGTGACAGCACTGGTACTTTTCCTCACTATCCCAGTTACAGTAGCCAGTGCTGAAAGATCCTTCAGCAAACTGAAGCTGATTAAAAACTATCTCTTACTATACTTACTTATACCCACCTTTTATAGAGGACAAACCAAATTACTAAACGCTATAACGAATCTATAGCATATATGCTCAAAATTTATTGGGCTACATTATATGGGCTACATTATATATGTAGCCCAATAAATTTTGAGCATATATGCTATAGATTCGTTAAAGCGGTTAGTAATTTGGTTTGTCCTCTAGAAAAGGTGGATCATAAAAACGACCCTATCGTCCCTAATGGGTTAAACAGTTTAGCCATCATCTCAATTGAGAACTTTACAGCAAGACAGTTTGACAAGAAACAGCTGGCCAAGTTGTTTGCTCTTTCCAAACCTAAGAGAGCTGCTAGATTAAATGGAATTTGAACTGTAATACAAGTTGTAATGTAAATAGTATTGTAATCTAGGTAAACTATAGGTAAAAATATAATATTAATCATAAGCTAAAATGTACTAATCTTTGTATTCTAAATGGGGAAAAAGAAGAAACATTGTCAGTCAGTCGAGAAAATTGTCAGTCAGGCTATATGGCAGCTTTGTAGATGTTGTGACTATGCTAGTAGTGGTCCCAGGCTTGCGACTGGAATTGCGGTGTTAAATCGATTTAATGGTATACCAACGATCCACCTCCCACTTGTTGTTTGGTACTTAGCATTAATAGTGTTAGCTGTAGCCATTTATAGCAAGAATCTTAAAACTAAAGGGGATGACAAGGAAAAGAGGAAGGAAAAGAATAACGGGACAAACAATTAATTAAAGTATTTATAGGAGCATAGATATTGTAATTACAAGCTTCAATAATAAATCACTGACTAAAACTTCTAATTAAAATGACACTTGGTACGCTCGCCCATTTTCACTGGTCAGTCTGAACTTCGGTTTAGCACGTTGTACACTTATTCACCTAAGTTTCAGAATTTGTTCAGTTTAGCAGAGTTAGTACCCGTGTTTCAATAAATCAAAAGATATCAGGGGAGTTCTTTAATAATGTTACGGTCGTCTAGAATACCGAACTTCCTGAAAACGTTATCATATTTCCTCAGACAACGTTTAATGCCTTTAATCAGTCTATCACGGCTATATCCTCTATCAATTAGAATTTTGAATATTTTGTGAAGATGGGAGGTAAAGATATCCACTCTAGTGCAAACATTACCATATCTAAGAACTTGACTTGAAAAAACGTTGTAGCCAACCTCGGTTGGGATGTTACTGTGAGGAAATGTAAGGGATACAACATGGAAATTAAAATCATCAGTTTTGTTATACACTGATATTTCTAGTCCTTCTGTGGAAATATTAATATTTAAATCAAGGTAGTTAATGATTTTATTATTGGAACCAGCTCGCTCCATCTCCAATGAATTAGGATAAATATCTTTAATCAATTTATGAAAGTAAAGGTAGTTAATAATAGATAAATCGTCAACATATCGTTTATTATTGGATAATATCTTTGCTAATCCCATTTTCTTTTCCTGAAGTAAACGTTTCATATAATTAAATTCCTTTTTGCCAACAGTGAGATCAGCTATAGGGGAACTTGAATTTCCACCCATAGGAATACCCTTGGTTTGTATGAATACAATCCCACCGAAGACGACATAAGTGTTATAAATAATAAATTTAACAGCCTCTTTTAGGTCATCTTGACTAAAGCAGGCATGAGAATCATAGGTTTTATTGGAAAAGAAACATGTATTACTGTCTTTTTTAGAAATACAAATATATCTATTACGGTCTGAAAATATTAAATCAACAACTTCATTAATCATATTCTCTACTTCAATCAAGTCTAATCTGGTATAAAGAGTAGTAAAATCATATACTTGTATATTATAAACATCGCTATTTTTGATAGCTTCAAGGAATTCACTTGAGGAATCTATGCTCCAAAACATGTTTATACCGCTGTTGTTGTAGATTGCCTCGCAGTATTTCTTGAAGTATTTCCTCAAAAGTTTCAGACAACAGTTAACTTGGACGTTAAGTTGTTTCGTAACGCAAAAACGGGCACCTGCAATGAACCTCGCCTTGTAAGGGTTCTTATGAAGCTTAGGGTTCCAGAAGATGCGTGCTAGTCGCAAGTTTTTATCTTCAACTTGTACATAAATAAAATAATAATAAAATTTATAATAAAATTTGGTAGCTTAAACACAAACTCTAAGCCCAGTGGATAAACCACAAAACTTATGCTCTATTGTGTGAAACAAAGATACTAGATCAAGATAACTATCAAGGAGTGTATGCATAGGACATAAAAAGTTTTGGAACGAAGATGACATGCTTGTGAAGCGAGCTAACAGTCTAATTGCTAATAAGTTCAAAAAGATCATGACATTAGGTTGCATCCTAAACAGTTTAAGCAAATAACATTAAATCTCTCCTTTAGACTCTCAGATATTTTATTGACATAATGAGTCTCGTCTTCGCTACAGGGTTTATATGTATCATTACCTATACATTATAGAGTATTAGGATCAAAACCCATTTCATTGACAAGAGTTTTTACATAAAACTTTTTACAAATAAATGAAAAATTACCAGAAGCTTTGTCGATACTACAAATAATGTATTTACTTTTCAGCAATTTAAGACTTCTTTTAACATCATCTTTTTCCAGTGTGTTTTCTTTTATTTCAAATGTTTCAGGAAAGATTTTCTTGTAATATTCAATACGATTGGAAACTATTGATAACACTTTTTCCTTCCAATCGCTGAACTTTACTTCTTTTTGACAGTACTTTCTACTTTTTGATTTTATAAATTTATCGACAGCTTCGGTAACTGACATATATATCTCATCTGGAGATTTAAATGTGGGAATTCTGTATTTACAACCGTAGGAAAGTACTTCCCTAAGTTCAACATTATCAACAATATCTAAATTACCAGTAACTACATGTCCATGAGGATGATAATTGAAAGTGGAGGAGTGACAATCGCATGGACTACCTAAAATAGATTTAATATCAGAAATAGAAAGTTTCTTTGAGAATGAAGCATAGTTACAAATAGAAAGACTTATAGGATCATTATATTATACTCATAATAAATCTGTAATGGTGTAAAAGACTGAATCAAAATGGGAAGCAAATCAATGACTGAAGTGTCAGAGAAAATAGATTTTAGGTTAAGTTGTAATGTAAATAGTATTGTAAAATGTAAATTGTTTTTTAAAATTTCCATATTTTTATCTGTTATTGCTACCTGTTAGATGTTGGTGTTTTATTTGTGAAGTATCATTAATACTGCAATGAGTGACTGCCGATTAAATTGGGATCCAAGTTAAAAGTAAACATTGATCTCTGAAACGACAGATTAATTCAATGCTGTATAATTGCCAGTCTGCGGGGCCTTACGTTATGCCTTTGCTCGAAGGCCACCACTGCTTCATTATTCTTTATGAACATTTTTCCTACGTAATTAACATGATCTGTTTACCAGGAGTTTTTTACCCTTCAATACTGAAATATAACTAATTTACAATAAAATATGCTATTATAACATTACAATCAACAAGAAATGTATTTAAGGGATTCAATGATTAATTACTCTACACCTGACTGTCACGTGACTTTTTTAACACATCCTCTAGGTGGCTCTGAATGACTATTCGAAACCCCGACCCCCTAATCTGATCTCAATCCTAAACCTAACCCAATCCATAACTGAATCATATGTTGAAACCCTAACGAGAAATTATACCAACTTCCTTACATGGTCATATCACGCGATCAAGACAGTTTTTTCGCCGATACCTCGCTAGGGGAGCATTTTAACCCTATGTCATGTGGGGTGATTCGGAATCAGCGTTCGAAAATACAACCAGTCAGAAATCAACTGTCTGGGGCCCTTTTAGAAAAACTTGAAGATCGAGTGTAGAGTGATTTAGCACGCTCGGTATTTAAGCACGAATAGATATGAATAATGATATTCCAAGATACTCAAATACAATTAAAACAAGCTATAAGTGAATGTACAAATAAAATGAAATATAAAATGACAACTACAATATCTGAAGAGTGAAGGAAAATTTCTAAAAAGACTGAATAAGAGTTCATAGTCCCTCCAAAAGTTCACCTGAAAACATTTTAGTATATCATCTATCAAATTACTTGGTATGGCCATCAGCCATGGGAATGAAAACTTTGATAAGATAACCTTTAAGGAAGACCATGTCTCACATAAAGAGGTTGGAGATTCGGGGTATACGGAGTTACAGTCCTAACAGAGCCGTGTGTATGGAGTTTGCCAGACCTGTCACACTTATAGTTGGTCAGTTCTGAACGAGTGACAACTTTTTTTAATTGTCAGATTTTTTAGATAAAGAACAATGTTTTTCTTACTTTAAACCCACATTTAAACCACCTTAAGGGGAGATACACCAAAACCTTTTTTGCTCCGAACATCGATTTTATTTTATATTATTTTTAAATAGACAAAAAGAATAAGATTGTACACCTTCAAAAATGTTTAAAAATATTCCCTCATCGAGAAAAAAAATATTTTTCTTTTTCGAAAATTTTTCAAATTTGGAGAAGTCTGTCACTGTAATACCGATAGTTCGGCCATTTAAAAAGTTTTTTGGCTGATTCTTTTACTGAACATTACTTACACTCCGTACTAGAAGCCATTGAAAGGATTATATAATTGAACAATAAATGACCAAGTTAAAGACCGAACAAGGTGAAAAAAGAAAAATTGGGATTTTTGCCTACCACCAAAGTTGTACATTTCACCACCCGCCCAGGTCATCAGATATCGCTTCAAAAATTATTGTGAGTGTAGTTGATGATCATGGCAAGCTTTTTGGAACCGGATTTCTCTCAATTTTGAGTTTTAAGCTATGCAATGTGGCCTCAAACGACTTAGTAAAATTCATCGTAAAAAAGGGCAAAAAAGGCAGATTTAAGGCTTAAAATGCCTATAACTCAAAAAGTATCAGTTTTTTTGAAATAATTTTTACAGGATCGTAATCAGCTTGGTAAGACGAATCTTTTAGTACGACATTTATAATATTCAAAGCCACAAAATTTGTAAAAAAATGTGTACAATTTGTACAAAATTTATACAAGGGGGGACCCTTGTGTTCGAGCTAGAAAATTATTTAAGACAATTTGTCTTCTAAAAGCACCTATTTGGTACTAAAAGATTTGTCTTACCAAGCTGATTACGATCCTGTAAAAATTATTTCAAAAAAACTGATACTTTTTGAGTTATAGGCATTTTAAGCCTTAAATCTGCCTTTTTTGCCCTTTTTTACGATGAATTTTACTAAGTCGTTTGAGGCCACATTGCATAGCTTAAAACTCAAAATTGAGAGAAATCCGGTTCCAAAAAGCTTGCCATGATTATCAACTACACTCACAAGAATTTTTGAAGCGATATCTGATGACCTGGGCGGGTGGTGAAATGTACAACTTTGGTGGTAGGCAAAAATCCCAATTTTTCTTTTTTCACCTTGTTCGGTCTTTAACTTGGTCATTTATTGTTCAATTATATAATCCTTTCAATGGCTTCTAGTACGGAGTGTAAGTAATGTTCAGTAAAAAAATCAGCCAAAAAACTTTTTAAATGGCCGAACTATCGGTATTACAGTGACAGACTTCTCCAAATTTTAAAAATTTTCGAAAAAGAAAAATATTTTTTTTCTCGACGAGGGAATATTTTCAAAAATTTTTGAAGGTGTACAATCTTATTCTTTTTGTCTATTTAAAAATAATATAAAACAAAATCGATGTTTGGAGCAAAAACGGTTTTGGTGTATCTCCCCTTAATGCTAAGTATTTTCAGTCTATATTCCTCAATTTCAGGTCACAACGGTAGTGGAAAAACATCAGTTATAGAGTGTCTAAAGTTTGCTTGCACCGGTGATACGCCCCCAGGAAACAAGGGTAACTTTGTGCACAGCCCTAAAATAGCTGAGGAATACGAAGTCAGGTCAGTCTTAAAGGACCAGTTAACTGAAAAATTTGTAGTCTCCAATTTGGCTAAGATTTAAATCAGCTGTGACAAACTGGTAAAGAATCGTATCGCCGAAAGAACCAACTCTCTAGTGTACGTGTAACGCGTGTTATTGCAATAATAAGCTGTGGCCTCGTGACGTCATAAATTCCCTCAGTGCGCGCTTGCATAGCGTAATTTACATTACAAATGATTATCATCGTCAATAAAACACGTGTAACTCACTCAAATTTTAGAATTATGACTATTACCCTAGTTCTCCAAAATCCTTATAGTTTTGGCTATCATTCTAACTAAAGGAATAGCTGATTGGATGTACAGTGCTCACGTCATGATTTTAAACAGTGATATAGGTTCTTGAACAGTGGCGGGTGAATGTACGGTTAGAAAGTTTCTGCTATTTCAACTTATGCCATATGTGATAATTTTGGATTGTTTTCATTGCTTAATTACACAAGCAGCTAGGGAGACTGTACCGATTATTTTTCCCCAGTCCATGAAACTCTAACGAATTTAGAAAGGATCTAGATAAGTAGGAGTTTGTTCAATTCCGAGAGCAATTATATTTATAGCATAGCGAAATTTATAACTTTAATCCACATGTGTCAGCCAGTACAGGAGACAAGAAGTCTGGCTACTTTACGGCCGTTCCTCAGCTCTGGGACCATTGGTAGAAGTAGCTTCTATCAGAACAGTGCCGTGGGAACAGAATTCCCGCCAAAATACCCGGTCAGGGGTCTACCAAATAGTTTAATACTGATTCGAGTGTACGGTGTGCGGTGTGTTTTGAATTAGACTTACGGCTTACCTAGTTGTTATCCTAATTGCATTATCATCGGTACATAACATAAATAAACTACTGGTAAGTTTAAATACCAAGTGCAAACGTGTTCAGTCAATCGACCCACTGAACAACTAAAGAATTTCCAAGACCCTATTATTCTCTGGCCATATATTACGGCACGATCGATTGTTAGATGGCTAAACGACCAACGTTAATCTATACAATTCTAAAACTATGAGCTAGCACTTTAATCAAAAAATACACTTTTTATATATTACTCCTGATTTTTACATTTCACGTAAAATATTGTCGCCACAGGTTGATCATGGACACTAACAGCTTGATTTGAGATAAATGACTAATGAGTTTCTCTAAAGTTAACTCTAAAGTTGTGTAGTCCAGTCATTTATGGACATTTATGGAAATGAACCTGCAAATGTTCAAATACTCACGAAACTTTGCACAGACCTTCCCGAAGGTATGAATAAACGATTTCCGTTTGGAGACATTTTTTGACCGTGGAGAAACCCCAGGAGGGCCACGCCCATATTGACCCAATAACGTAACCGACCCCTTGCTTCTGAAGGTCGTAGAGACTTCAAAATAGGCTTAAACGAAGCCGCATATGCATGTTTATATAGGAGTTATTGAGCAACACATGGCCTAAAATCCTTACTTTTCGAGAAATTCGCCAAAAACCATTTTGGGCGTGGTGCTGAGCCCATTTTCGATAGGATCGTGATAGAGTCTTTAAACAGGGTGCAAAAGAACCGCAATTAGCATATTAATATATATGACTTACGAACAAACATATGCCTTAAAGTGCTTACTTTTTCAGTTATTGGCGAAAAACTGATTTTCGGTTCCAGAAATCATGCAAAACTATGGGTATCTGGTAAATTGGGCTATGAAGGCCCTAAAGGTTTTTGAATGTGTGCAAATTGTGCAGAATGGCCATGTTTATATACAACTTATGAAGCAACATGTACCCTAAATTACTTACTTTTCGAGTTATTCGGGGAAAAACATTGTATTATCTCCATTTTCTACCTGTAAAATACAGTCTCACGAGCTCTTCTGCGCGCGCAAGGGACTTTATGACGTCATCGCCAAAATAATACAAACGCTATTTACACGCGTTAGAGAGCAGTTATAGATTTAGGAATTTCGACTCGTTGCTTAGTTTGCTATTTGTCACAATCTGTCAAAATATGAGGATAACTTTTTTTTCAGTTAACTGGTCCTTTAACTTGTATGTCTTATGATAATTTGATGTATATATACCAAGTCTTGAAAAACCAAGAAGACAATCTCATATCATACATACCATAAGTACACATTTCAATTTAATCAGAGTTGCTTTCATTATTGTCACTATTTTGTTGTGGTGTCCATTGTCCAATGTCCCGCTTTTGGCTCCAAGCCATTGGCCCTTCCTCCTTCTTCAAGAGCGATTATGACTGTTAATAACGCTTTGTATAAATATTCCATGAAATGGATATTATTTTATATAAAACCCAGAAAAGATTCAGAGACACTAATATTCAATAAAGGTATGTTTTTGTTTGACTTTAAAATCTAACACTCAGAGGTCAAGTGAAGTTAGAGTTCAAAGATTTGCTAGATAAATCAACGTTGGTCTCCAGAACTCTTCTTACTCAACAGAAACAAGTCAATCAAACAACTAAAACTCTGGACGGCACCATTAAACGAGCCGGCACCAAAAATGAACACGGCATAACGGTACATTTCTAATAATTTTTGGGGTTTCAGTTGTAGTGTTTAAGAGCAGTATGATCGTGTAATCGATACCCAACAACTCTTCTCATATCGATAATGTATTAAGGCTGGGGAAGAAAATGACAAATTGTAATACCTAAGCTATCATCTTCTTTTTTCAATTAAAAGTTTACTGTTAAATCAACAGCCAACTGAAAGTATCAGTATGAGATGCGCTGACTTAGATAAGGAGATGATTAGGTGTCTGGGAGTCAGTCGGAGTGTACTAAACAACGTTATATTCTGTCACCAAGAGGAAAGTATGTGGCCACTTTCAGAGGGTAGCACTGTCAAGAAAAAGTTCGACGAGATTTTTGGGCAGAAACGGTGAGTTTTAGAAATAAATTTTCTATAAAATTCTATAGAATTGTTACTGCACCTTCAATCGTCATCCTTAAGTTAAGTACTTCGGGTATGTTGTAAACTGAAAACATTTCTGTTGTTAACAGTTTGTTTCAGTCAAGTAAAGTGTGTTGAAGAACTAAGGAAGAAGTTTAAAGACCTGAAGCAACAGAATGCCCTAAACCTAAAAGATCTTGACCACCTCCAGAACAACCAAGCTAAAGCTGGAGAACTGAAGTTCGAGCTGGGCGAGGTTCAGAAACACATGAATCTTGGCAAGCAGGAGGTTGAGACTATCAACAAACAGGTTAATTTCAACACCGATACCATGGATACGAGCAAATTGTTATTTCATATCTTCAGCATTTATAATCCCAATTATGGTTGCACAGCAGGTTGCTGATTGTTTAATCTAATATTTATAGAAGTTCATCTGTACATCCATTTAACAGATACAAGAGTTGCGAGAAAATTTGGACGGTTCACACAAGAAAGTAGAAGAAGTGAGGAAGTTGGAGAGGAAGAGAGACGAGTTTGTGACGAGACTAGACACCGTGGAGCGCACCAAGAACCAGTTGGAGAAGGGTCTCCAGGTCAATTACCCTCATCCTACAGAGAAATTACTTCAGATGTTATCCTCGTTCGAAAGAGATTTCCAGGTAATTGTTTCGACAGAGTTTTACTGCCAACTGATTTATTAACTAGTTTTACATTCTCAATGTTTTTATGTTTCAGCATTTGATTATTAAATGCGATCAGAAATGTGTAAACAACGAATATACTAGACTTACCACATCGCAGTTATTAAATAAGAATTTCACCAACCAGGACAAGAGACATAAAGAGCACGAATTCACAATGAGACTCTCCGACGTAGTAGAATCGCATGACAAAGCCGAGAAGAACATGCAGGTTTACAGCGAGGATTTGGGTAGATTGAGGGAGGCTCAGAAAGCTTACAATCGACTTCAGGAGGAAAATGAGAAGTCTCTGGCAAGTTTAGCTGAGAAGTTCAGCGGGGACTCTTCCCTTTTGCTTGGTAGCAGGACTAAGGTGAGTTATATTCGTTTTAAAAAATTAATTTATAAATTAACACTATATTTTAAATCTCAAGAGCAGGTTTGCTGTGCAGAGTGACCTACTAAAATTAATTTCTTTCCTATCTCAACCTTGAAACCATTTCTCCACAATTTAACACTTATGAATTGATCAAGGTACCAGATGATGCGAATGTGATACACTGGATAGAAGGAAAGTTAGATGAAAGCAGGGTCAGTGAAGAGAAGAGAGAAAGAGAGAGTAGAACTCAGCAAGATAAGATGAACAAACAATCTGACGAGCTTAAGAAAACTCTCAACCAGGCTCAGGAAAAGGTTTTTGTTTTCCTGTCGTCTCTAATCTATTCCTTACATCATAGAATAATATAGATAACTGAGTTTTGCTGTTGATATCTTATATCGGTAGAAAGAAAAAAACTATTGACCCCTGTAATACGTTTTTCAGCTGAAAATGAAGCGGGAGAGTAAGAGGAAGTTAAAGGAGGAGATGGATAAGTTGTTGGTTGAGATACGGGAGATTAAAACAAGTGCCTCGACATTGTCAAGACTAGAGGTTTGATGCCATCGTAATTATGGATTTTCCTTCAAAATTAATACGTTTAAAACTTAGAACTGCAGAGAGCAGGGAAATATTATTTGATACGCACGCTAGAAGCAATAACATGTTTTTGTAATCTTTTACCTGGTCAGCAAGACAAGAAATCAGCAGAAGAGGAATTAAAACAGTTCCAAGAGACATCCCGCCTTGATGAGATCGGAACAAAGATAGAAGCTAAAAGTAAAGAAATGAGGAATATAGCAGAGAAACAAAGCCAACTCTCCAGTACGTTTTAGTTAGATCATTATGCGTATGTTCTTGGCTGGTTAATTGTTAAAGGAAGTGTATCTAAGTTTATTCTTAACTTCATAAGGAGGATATTTACTGGCGAGAGTGCAGAGATAGGGCCTGTCGTGATATCACGACAGGCCCTAGTGCAGAGAGTTCACTCTCATAATTACAGAGAGTGCAGAGTTCTCTCTCATAATTACTTCCATAAGATTTTCGATCGATGCTAATTTGCATCTTGTTCTTTCAATCGATTGTATGACCACATTTTATACAGGTGAGCTGGAGGTGCTTCATCTGGAGGCTGAAGCTAGACAGGATCGGGAGAGAGCTGAAAATGAGCTGTCGTCCAAGGAGATTGAAATGAAGAAGTTGATATCTTCTCACGAAGAAAAAATAAAGAAACATCTTGGAGAGATGCCAGCTCCAGGAGGAAATTCTCGGGCTTTGTCAAAATATTTGTCTACCCAAAGCAGTGAAGCTAAAAGTCAAGGAGATAAATTGAATGAAAAGCAGCGCAGTGTAGCTAAGGTATATCAGATTACAATGTTATTATCTCTAAGCTGGAATTTATTACTTAAAAGATGAAAAAGTTTAATAAAATAGATATCCGAAGCATGAATCTGTGCTTTACTTCTTCAAATAGCGTAATTCCTTAGGGAGAAATGGAGCTGAAGATGGCTAAGCAACAGCTGAAAGAACATGAGATGAAAGCTAGAAAAATTCGGGACAAAATTGTTGAAGTGTGTGCCAATCCAGCGATATATGAATCCGAAGTGGAGCGGGCAGAAGCGGAATATAGCAGAGCAAAGAAGCAAAATACATCTATTGTTGGGTTCACGCACATTTACTCAAAGTTTGAGGAAAAGGTCAGAATTTAAAAGACTATTTCAATGGTTTTCCCGCGCCATAAATTTTGTATTGCTAGTTTTGACGAAGTAATAGTGAGTAATGTGAAATCGTCAACGAAACACACGGCCGAATAATTTACGCGCACTGTAGAATAGATCAAATAGGGGCGCTTGACTGTCAGATTCAGTGATAATAAATGAAATCATATCAGGTTTCATCATCACACTCCTGTCCAATTTGTTCAACAAGCTTGGGAGAAGCTCAAGCTCAGAGAGTGTCCCAATCTTTACAGAGAAAAATCGAACGTGCTCCGGAACAAAAGGTAAGCCTCGTCATTCAGCCGCAAAACCAGCTTGCGGTTCTTTAATTGTCTACTCTAGATACGTGATTGTATTATAAAAATGGTACTATCACAAATTATTATTATCGTCAGGAGAAAGCGAAGCAAGATGAAACGGTAGCAGAGAGGAAGTTCTTCGCACTCAAAGCAGCCGCTAATCTGTACACTGAATTGAACGAGCTCGAAAGAGAGAAGATTCCAGAACTTTCAGAGCGAGTGACGTCACTGGAGAAGACGATAGAAGAGGAGAGGGAACTGGCAGAAGATATGGAGGACGCTGTCCAGGTATGTCATGTGATTTGACAAGTTCGATTATCTTCTGCACAGTGTATCGTGGTTTGGATTATGATTTATTATATATCTTTAACCATGAATTTTCAGCTGATAGCTGTTAACGAATTTGAAGTACGTCAGATGGAGAAAGATTTAGATTATGTTGATAGACTACACAGGGAGTGCTTAGCACTGAAAGATAAGATATCTAGTCTCAGCTCACGGCTTGTTAGCTCCTACTCAAAGGTACGTCCCATTCGACTCTAAATTCTCAGAACATTGTACGTTTTAGAACTTAATGTTATAGGTGACAGGAATTGAGAAATTACAGTTTGGATTTGTAGTAGACACAACGTTGCATTATTCTGAATTAGAAAATGTTGAATTAAAATCTAAGAGTATCCAGGATCAGAACCGTCGCTATCTAAACATCACTGATAACACTTATTTTGCAGACTCTCAAGGAAGCAATAGAAGAACAGTCACGATACCAAGAAGAGTACAGTGCTCTGCAACACGAACACTCCCGACTCATGGACAGCAAGACCCGTGGTGAGACAAAGTGCAATGCCCTCCGCCAGCGCTTCTACTCTCTTCAAGACGAGTATGTTGCTCTCAGCACCAAGATGCAGGGTCTGAAAAGCATGGAAGAACGGGTTAGTCTCTTTAAGTTTTCTAGAAGAGCCTCTGTGCATGATTAAAATCAGATTTCATGACAATTTTAGATAGGTAGACTTCTAAATCCGAATTCTGAACATCATATCGTTTCAGAGAAAAGAAAAAGCACTGGAGATCCAAGAACTCTCCCAAGGAGAAAGAAAGGTCGAAGAAACGATTAAGCCGAACGAGGAACAGCTAGATGTGTTAGAAAGACGACTAGCTAAAGACACAGAAGAGGATTTGTCTACACAGAGACAAATTAGAGACTCTCTTAACCGACTCTCTAACGCTGTTGAGAACTCTAGAAAGCTTGAACAGCAGGTTCCTCATTTATTTGTATAGTTTCAGTCTATCATGCTGACCAATCACCATAGGCTTATTATATATATTCATTTCCTACGTGAGAAGAACTATTTGAATAATTGATTGATACTTGACTGATTCCCAACTTATCTCCATCTGACCTGCTGCAGTTGGTGAGCAGCAGTGGTTCTAGCAGTGGTAACTTGTCCAGTCTCAGCGGGAGATTGGAGCAGTGTAAGGACGAGTATGAGAACCTGAAGACGCAGAAAAAGAAACTAGAGGGACAACTACAACAACTGAAACGAGATTTGGACAGTAGCCAAGTTCAAAAGAGGGATCTGGAGGGTTGTTTACAAATACGAGAATTCGAACAAGAGATGCAAAGGTGCCATGTAATTAATCATTCTTATAAGATAAGATATAAGTATGACAATAAATAATCCATTCATTAACAGTCAGTTTAGCACAAATACTTCTGTAACTCACTATAACACCCCACTCCAGTATTAAAGATGAGATCACGGCAACAGAAAGACAGCTAGCTGATAAGGAACTATCAAAAGCCCGTTCCACGGCCAGTAAAGTTCAGAAAGACATCGAGGAGAAGAGCACAACTAAAGCTGGACTAGAGGGGAGACATAGGGGGTTCTCAGAACAAATTAAACGGTTACAGAAGGAGCTGAACAGTAGCATGTTCAAAGATGCTGAGACAACATACCATCACCAGAATATAAAGTGCCACGTCGGACAGCAAACTACTAAGGATATTGAGATGTTCATCATTGCGTACGAGAGAGCCATTATGCGTTTTCATAAGGACAAAATGGAAGAGATCAACAGAACGCTTAGGGAACTATGGGTGGAGATATACAGGTAAATCTGAAGTTGCTGTTGATTAAATTTCTATCGTGTATTGGTAATTCTCGATTTTTTGCCAATTTCCCGAGAATTTATATTTGCATTTCGTTGCACCATATTTTGTAAAATTTGTCCTCAGAGGTGGGGATATCGACTACATTGAGATAAGAACAGATGATGACGAAGTTGAGTCTGTCAGTAAAAGGAAGACTTGTAACTATCGTGTTTCTATGAACAAGGGTGGTGAGTATTATACATAATTCCTATCAGTATCAAATATCAGTGACCTTATATGTCTTATACCTTTGTGACCATACTTCACAAAACCTTGATATTTTTTATCAATATAAGTCAGGCAGGTTAATATTTGACACTACATAATCACCACATATTGCAGGGGTAAGTATAGACATGAGACAGCACAGCAGTGCAGGGCAGAGGGTGCTAGCAGCACTGCTCATCCGACTAGCCCTTGCAGAGACCTTCTGTAACAACTGCGGGGTCATCACTCTGGACGAACCTACCACCAATTTGGATCGTGACAATATCGAGAGTCTCGCTCATGCGCTGGGCAAATTCATCAAGAGTCGCCAGAGTAAGTTGGGTTCTGCAAATTTCAGCGAACCTTTAAAATTTCTATATTGTCTTGATAACTTTTAATGTATTTTTGTGAGTTCACGTTTTGCCTAAATTGAACAATAGTAAAAAATTGTCTTCAGGTACGGGACATTTCCAGCTGATAATAATAACTCACGATGAAGACTTTGTGGAACTGCTGGGCCGTAGTGCTGCCATTGATCATTATTACAAGGTGTCTAAAGGCACTGATTACTGCAGCATGATCACTAAGAAACTTATGGTTGATTAATCGAAACAGTTTCAACACATTCCTTGTGTCGAGTAACGAAATTATTGTGAAACGATGAGCACTTTATTTTTAATAGTTTTAGCTCTTGGAGGGGTTTTAGAGTTTGTTTGTTAACAAATTGGAATTTCAATATTTTTAAAACAAACTTATACGAATACACATCGTTATTTATGTCATTTCAAGTATCTAAATTTTAAATATTATTTTTAACAAATTATCATTTTCTTAACTGCTTCACTTAAAATTTTCTTAAATAACAAAATATCTAAAAATATATGTTATTAGGGTTGAAACCAATAATTTTCCGGATTTCCTGGACTGCTTCGCTTATTCTTAAACATATGTTCTAGCTCCCGCCATATGAAGTTATCCTCGAAGGGCTGTTCCTCCTGCTCAAACGACAAGCCACCCAACTTGGACTGGTCCGGAGTCTGCAAGATGGTCCGTTCCGGAGAACTTGACCGGAGGAAAGCGTTATCCGGTGTTTGAGAACGGAGGAATAATGGAGAGGATCTGCCAGAAGTGAAATGTTGGGGGTCAGGAGTTTTGCTGCGAACTGGAGAATTGAAAAAGAGGAAGTTGGGAGACTCCTGGTGAGTGAATGGTGATGAGACCTGGAGAGGAGATATCGGAGATAAGATGTTATCTCGGTTTGTTAGAGATTCCCCGATCAGCTGTTCTGTGAATGGTGATAAGACCTCTGCGAGTGGTGCGTTCACCTCGCTGTGGACTGAGGGCGGGTCTCTATCTGCTCTCTCTTCTTCAATACCAGCGAGAGGTAGGATCTCTTGTTTGTTGGCATTTTTCAAACTTTCTTTGTCTCCATTTGCTTTTGAAAGGCAAATTGCCTCAGTATTTAGGACATGTGCGTCTCCTAGGGCTGCTGCTCTGAGTTTGTCATTCTGTTCCAGCACATCTTGTCCCAGTATCATGGGTCCTGAATCTATTTTAATAACTTTTGATGACAATCGATTTTCATCCTCGTCACATTTTTCAGAGAACAGGCGCTTCTTCGCTTTGAAGATCTGTTTTACGAAACTCGACTCGCCTGACTTATGTGAGTTATCAATATTATTTTTAGGAGAGCCTTTATTTTTAGACTTAGGTTGTCTAGATTTCGGAGTTTTCCTGGGTGTCTTTCTGGGAGTTTTTCTTGGAGTTTTAGACAATTTCACAGTCTTGCCGTCTGGTGTTTTAGGAGATGATGTTGCTGTTTCTAGCATGTCGGTGTTAATTCCAACCAAAGCACCTGGCGGTAGATCGTCTGGTTCGTGGTCCTGTAACCTGAATCCACCTGCTTCACAACCGCCCGCTGTAATTGCCGGAGCTGGAAGAGAGCCGCCCGGTAGCGGCTCAGCTATTCGAGAGCTCATGAAAATAACCGCTTTAAGGAGGTCCATGGCACTCTTAGTCCTGGGTGGGGTGCTGGTGATAGTGTGTCCTCCTTGCATCACATTGATGATCTGATCGTCTACCTCGTCTAGCGGCTCTACTCCTGTGTCTGCCAGTATGTCTTCTATCACTTTAGACAAAATGTCGGTTGGAGGGTCTGTTTGTTTGCTCACAGTACCTTCATGTTGGGCTGGTTGAGGAGGAAGGTTTAGAACTTTATCCTGGCTGGATTCTTGCTGGGTCGAATCGTGAATAGCGAATTCTTGCTGTCGAACAATCAGTTGAGCAGGATGGGTAGCATTGTCTTGATTACTATTTCCTACTACAACCGACTGCAGATGTGAACTTGAAGCTTCTTCCTCGGTGACTTGCTGATCAACTATGTTTGAGATGATCTCTGCTCCACGATGAGATTTACTAAATGGTGCACTCAACGCGCTGGCAATCTGTGCTGTAGGAGATGAACCATAGGAATTGGACGGATGCATTGTTTTATTCTCACTAGATTGCTGAGTGTAAACAGTTTCTGAGGGGCTCGTTTGTACCACAGAATATGGTTCAGTTTGAGCAAGTTCTGTGAGATTGGTCCCCATCAGTTGATCCTGGCCTCCGATTTGAGGTACTTCTGCTAACCTCATAAGTTCAGCGCACAGCGGAAAGTCTCGGGTGCCTGGTGATAGTCCCTTCATTTCTTTTTCCTTTCCATCACGATCGAATGCTGTTTTTACAACCTTATTATCATCAGCTTTCTCACAAAATTCTTCTAGGCGTTCAGTCACGACTGGTTCTGATTCTGGGGCAACAATTGTTACACTAGTTGGCTGTTCCGTGTGAATTGATCCGAAATGTGCATCATTATGCACAGCATTCACTCCAACATTTGTAAACTCTGTTTGATACCCGAGACCAGAGTCTATGACAACAGTTGGAGCTTGATAGAACTCTTGGGACCGATAAGCTATTTGGTCTGTTATGGGCATGTTTGTGTCTAAATCTACAATATCTGTCGGGGTTTTCGCTGGTTCATCATACAAATCCTTATCATCCGAACAAGTGATAACGTATTGGTTGTTGTCAACTTTGATACCGTGAGCACTTTCCAAACCCTCTGGAGTGTTGTCAGCAGCCAGCAACTTCTCTGCCTCAGGAGAGGGCAGGTTTATTGCATCTCCTGTTATGGTGAGGGTACCGTCCGGGTTGTGAGTTACTGGAACCAGCATCGCTTCTTTGCCTGGCAGGAGTGAGGGGTTAGTCGGAAGAATGCAAAATGCAAATTATCAAATTCGACTAATAGTGGGAAGGTGACGTAGGCTTGATTTGCCATGTGACAGATAATATCTTGTTAGGTATATGATCTGATTTATCTCTGTGCCAACTACCACTTCTCTACCATCACCAAGGCCACTATAATTTTCGGAGATTTTGTAAAGTAAGGTACCAGAAGTCTTCTTTATAATATAAATGACATCTGAAAATTAACCTAAACCTGAATTTAATCACAATACCTTGTAGTTGTAGCGTATGTAGGTCCTTTTCTTGTAGTTTCAAATTGTCTGTCTTCGTTCCGACAGGACTGCTACTCTTCTTTCGATTTTTGTTTTTATCTTTAGCAGGCTTCACAACAACTGTAAATAATATGTGTCTTCTTAAATATTTAAACTCTTGAATCCTTTTCTCGAAATTCAAGGTTCAGGAAGTCAAAGGGATCATAGTCTTTAAAAGTCTCATTAAATTTCAGAGGACACGTGTGACTGTGATTACTGAGTAATCTGAGCATACCTGTGTTTTTACCAGATTCCAAAACCTCCAACACTGTATCGATGTTGTCATCCTTTATGGTATCCCTACACACCTTCTTTCTCTTGATATGTATCTTGAAGTTGTCCTTTCTCGTGAATGTTGATTTACATTTCTTGCATCTAAACCTGTAAACACAAAGATTAAAGATCGAATCCCAATGATATCTCCACCAGATACTCACGGTCGTCGGACTGATTGATAAATCGGCGGCGAGTCAGGCACGCTGTGTCTGGTTTTATATTAGCGACAAGAGAAGCGCCAATGTCGGACGTGACACCTTATGTAGAGTATTATGTAGAGTGCGAGTGTGGCCGTGACAAGACAAGTGAGACTAGTGACACCACCTAGCAATGTACTTGCTTTTGGTTTTGGTTTAGGGAGCAAACTTGCCACATTACATAATTCTAGGATATGCATTATCGATATCTCTTGTTTTGAGCCTCATGGAATATCACCTCATTATTCCGAATTAGGAATGATGAGGTTCTAAGATAATTATTAGTACGTGGGTACCCTATTGTGTACTTTTAATTGATAGACCTTCCTCAGAATACTCAATCTCTTAGAAAGTTAGAATACTCGACTACTCGAGACATCCTCCTTCCTTGGATAATTGGATGCTTAGACTATATTGGCAATCGATCAATTAAAAAGCCGGTTATTGAAACGAACATTTCCGGCTGAAGTAAGTATTGATATCACGTGCCGTATTTATATCACGTGCCGTATTTATATCACGTGCCGTATTTATATCACATGTTGAGGGAGAACTCTACCTCACCCGGCTAGCTAGGAAATAAAGTGCCCTATGGATTGGACCTGTCGACTGTCAAATTTTACCGTGAGAGCGTGTGTAGAAGTGTGAGTGAAAGTTTTACAGTTTCTTAATCTAACTTTATGATCTTACTCTACATGATTGCATAGATAATGTATAACGTACCTCTGCTTGGCTTTCTCCGGGTCGTGGGTGTAAAGATGTCTGACAAGCTGATCGTGCCGTTTAAATTGTGCCGCGCACTCCGTGCACGTGTGGTCGCGCACACTCGTGTGGACTAACATGTGTGACCGCAAGTGGGATGTCTTCTGGAAGCTCTTGGTGCAGCGCGGGCAACGGTGTGATATGTTCAGACCTGGAGTAAACATATGACTTAAGTCAATTCGCTGCTATTGGTTCGGTTAGGTAAGCGAGGGCACTTCAGTAATTATGCAGACGGTTTGGGAAAACATTAGAAAAATTCACAAAAGGCATGATTCTATTTCTAAACGTTCGAGCTGGCAGAAATTCCGCAAGTATTGCACATATTCACTATTTAGCGAATACCGTCGAAACTTAAAGGTGAGTGTTGATAGCTCAGCATTTAAAAGAATTACCAGGTATGTGGCATTGCTTGACACAATTGATACATGGGCATGGTCCTGGCTTTTCCTGAGCTGGAACTATAATTTCCTTCGGGGCCGGCGTCTCCTCTTTCTTCTTCTTCGTCCCATTTTTCTTCTCCTCTGAAGTCGAACTATTGGTTTTTCTCTTCTCGACACTGCGTCCCCTTTTTGTAAGAACTTGGAAGCAACGTTCCTGATGTTAGCGACAGATTCCTTATACTCTGGATGGTTTACTTTGTGGTCCTCTAACTTCAGTACTGCTTGTGCGAGGATCCGCTTGGCTTCAGCTAGAGTCAGCTTCGGCTCAGCTGGTTTGATGTTCTTTATCTTCGTCATGGTGGTCTAATGGAAGCCAATTATAAAAATAAATTAAAAACTAAGCCACCAAAATATCATATTGCTACATATAAACTTAAAGTAAAAACAAACGAAACTGCAATAAATGCAGACACACTATTTCGAAAGAGCTCCAACGACAGCTGTATGACTAGAATGATCAAATGTAAACGATTATCCCTAGTAGGGCTTGAAACTGTGCGGCTCGAAGCACTAGCACCACCCAGCACTCTCTCCAATCAGCGCATTTAAGCGATACATTATATGCACTGCAAGGATTCCCCCTCAGGGTCTCCAAGCCGCCCCAGGCGCAGTCACTAATAGCAGTTATTTGTTAATTATATAGCATAGTTAAGGGACAAGGTGAGGGACTCTACTAAAAATAGAGAGGGCTGTGGGCAACCTCTTGTCAGATTTAAACACTACAGTGCTGGTGCTATAAAGTGCTCTTTATACCATAACGGGCCTGATTGTAGCGCATGCTTATTATCCAGCTGCAGCCCCAACAAGCTTCAACAAGCTCCTTTGCTGATCATCTGAATGATCTGGGGCGGAGACTATGAGGGGCTTATACTGTTCACTGCAGAGATCACAAAACCTCACCGCCCTGTGAAACTAGCACACTAATTATAGGAGTTGATTAGCGTCTGTGTGTGAAGGGACGCGGGACAGAGCAGAACTCCGTTTAAATCGGGTCGCATTTCGGTGAAACAGTGGAGACTCTGGTTTTGATATTTTTATTATGATAATAGCTCTCCAACAGAGGTGTGCTGGTCTTTATTCTCGGTTCTGGAATCAGACACGCCACATTTCACACGTGGTGCACATTTTGCACTTGCGGCAATATGTGTTTGTACGTGTCATGATGTTTACACGTGGTGTAATATATGTCCAATATGTTTTCTAACACCACAGAATTTTCCTGTAGCATAAAAAACGTGTGATTTATAATGATGACTAGTATAGGTAGTGTTGCTGTGCTGGAGGAATTTGAAGCAAAAAAATGTCAAGTCTTGGAAACAAAAGTGAATTAGGTTTATGACAGTTTTCAAATTAGATGGTCCTTTTTTCTTTGTAATCTAATTTTTACGATATTCACAGTCATGGGACAGTCATTGAATTGAAAGAATAAATATTAATTTATGAATTAAAGCTGCTGAACAAGAACTAAATTAAACCAATATAAACTTTATATCAGTATCACACGTGAAGAGATCATTACACAAACAGAAGTAAAAAACACACAACGTAACTATTCTTACAGCACAATAATTGTTCCAATGTTTCATTCTAGTACGATATACATTACTAGTTTTCACTAAAGAACCGCTAGGGGGTCGAGCAAAGTTCATAATATTGCACTTTTAAGTTTTAACCTTCCATGTGACCAAAATGACTTCGTAGCAGGTCTCTTCAAAGGAACCAAGTAATGCCAAAATCAGTCTCTCACTGCTCATTCAGGGAGGCACACAGAGATGGCGTCCCTCCCTGAGCTGGGTATTTTCAAATTTACCACAGATATCAAGCGGCTTAATGCTAATATACAGCTCAACTCAATGTCCTTAGTCAGTTAGTGGTAGTCCTTTCATCAAGACATTTTTTCTAAGTCTGCTACTTGGCGACTCTGTTTTTGACAATGTTGCTCATATTATCTCCTTGATTATTTCGGATTCGGGGTGAGTCAATATTACTCCAGCTCTCACTTTTCAACTTGGTCAAATCGATAATTCCTCTGCTGTTCCATCCCCGCCTCTTAGAGCTGGGTATCTTGTCGACACTAACCGAGGTTTCTTGACCCAGCTGATTGGAGATACCGCTCCTGTCGATAGTAGCCGTGCTATTACGACCATGCTCTTTTAAGGCCATAAATGTGCTGACAATGCTGGATGTAGATTGAAGCTTTAAGATGCGGTTTTTCTTCTCCTCCTTGCTCCACCTCTTGAAGGCAGTCATTCTCATGTAGTATAGGACGGGGTTGATGGCAGAATTGAGCACGATGAACACCACACAGGACACTGGCCATGCGTACCAGAACATCATCCTGTTCTTTAAGTACGGTCCAGGGTATGGTAGATGAGAATGGATTCTAACATTCTCCATGGTGAGCATGATGCAGTACGGCATGTTGCAGAAGATGAAACAACCTGTGAAGATAGCTATTGTGATGGATGCCTCCTTCTTGTGGTTCTGAGCTCCTCTTATTGTCTCCTGACAAATAAGTCGAATGACTGAGACGATGAAGCTTATGAAGGTGACGATTGAAGGGACTGCAACAAGGAGAACCAACATGAAGGTGACTCGTCCCAGTGATTCTGGCTCAGGCTGGAGGAGACAGAATGGTCCCACGGAAAGGTAGATAAACCTTCCTTTGTAGATTGCTCCTGTTATCTCGACTACTAGCAGCATTATTGCATAGATCCCTAGACTCAACAGTGCCCGGAATTTGTTGACTTTGTAGAATGGTAGTACGATGGCAACAGTCCTTGATACACTCAGCAGCATGACCGTGAAAATGGTGAATTTCTGTAAGAAAAAGAAAGCAATATTCCAAAAACCACAAAAAATTAGATTATTGAAAATTCCTGGGACACGACCCCTAAAAAATGCTATTGTGGTCGGGTAATGCCAGAAACTAATCACAAAATCACAAATACAGCTTATACTATACAATATAGCAGACAAGTCCTTCCTTCCAGTGGAGTGGAAGTATCTTAAAGCTAGAATGTTTCCAGGGGTACCAATAAGTCCAAACAGGAGGAGGAGAACTCCGAGCAGTTTGTCTGCCGCGGGTCCACCTGATAAGTCCATCTCGTCCATTTTAACGTGGGGGTTGTACTTCTGCGTTCCGTTCATTCTAGTCCTGTTCAACTTTCTTTTAGTGAGACACATTTAACAATTAAAAGAAACAGTTCGAAGTTTACATTATTTAAAAGTGATGGGGAGTATTTTCAACTTTAAAACGGCTAAAAATCGGAGCCAGGAAGTAGTAACATTCTAGAAAGGCATCTATGATTTCATGCACCTTGACATTTAACTTCTTCGCTGAATATATTTAGAACAACGATCAGTGATGAGATTGTAGTGATGAGATACATGTTCAGATTTCTTACAGCTAAAGAACTGGAAGTGGGAGGAGTAATAGTTTCAAAAACTAGAAGGCAACATCCCTAAATTATTGGTATGTTAACGAATAAGAATAACGATCAGTGTGGCTTGTTCAATACGTTACAAAGCTTCACGTAAGGAAGTAAGACATGTCACATGTTACCAGCCAGTTGTTAGTTACTCCCAGGCCACATGAAAGTGCGGCCGGGTTTCTAGATGATTATGCTAGTGTAATTTTAACAAAATAGCTATGTGTAAAACTGATTCTATAGAGGGGGGAAGGGGTGAAAATTAGCCAACAATTGATTACGTGAACGACCTCTTATCAGAAATTAATCGAAAGTTAATATCCTACCAGTACCACCTTTTAAAAGCGTGTAAACTCAATAATGTCATTATCATCTAAAATTATAAACTTGCAAAAGTTTTATGTGATCTTTGAGGTTTCTAACTTATGATGATGCTACGGAAAATTTTGTTCAACCAAACAAACAGTACAAACGCTCGAAACTTAACTGATCGAAAAGTCGAAAAAAAAGGAATACGTTGAACTGTATTCCGTAAAATGTACTAGAATAATAAGAATATCCGAGGTGGTGGATGGTCTGACTCTATAATGCTTCCCATTCACAGCACAAAGTTCTTTATTAACTCACTTAATATCACACAAACAACAATAGAGCAGAGCTAGGACTTGGCAGATATAACAATTGCATGAAAATATTGAACCTAGAGTAGAAAAATGGGGTCGGAAAATAAAACACTGTTGTGATGAACAATATAATATATACCGTAAACATTAAATAACATGTTAAAGTAGCATGATATTTGTTTATTTATACTTTTATATAGTTCCTGGCTTAGTGAGTTGGAACATGCTGGTAAACCTATGCTATTGTGAGTTAGTTCCGCACCTGCAACACATGTAAGTGCTAAATACATGCGCTAACCATGGCTAACCTCATTGACTTGTCTCACAAAGTCACAATTCCTTTTTAGACTCACCTGTCTTCAAGATTCAGCTCTTTTATAAATTACTTACTTTATTACTGCTGTCTCACAAGTCATTATTAGGGCTCGCTCCAACGTATATTCAAGACATGTTTCGGTACACTTATCATGGTCACACATTAAAACCTTATTATGGTTCCATCGTTTAACTCTAAGTTTGATGAGCGAAGCTTCTCAGTGGTGGCTCCAGAGATCTACAACCGTCTGCCTACTACGGTAGTAGGCAGACGGTAATACTACCATCACATCAGCTGAATCAGGGGGGACAATGGGTATTTTTTCGTGAAACTTGATTTCGAGATAGCAGTTGACCAACAAACTAAGACCAGTGACCGAACTTTTGAGGGGGTCCCAGACCCGAACCGCCCAACGGTACCCGCGGGGCAGCCACGCTCATATTTGGTCCAAATTAGGCCCACTTTAGCAAAATACCCTGAACATGCCCAAAACCCAGGTTGAAGGTGCACTACTTGTAGCTAGTGGTCTCCTGAACTCGTATATGAAATTTCGTCAAGATTGAACAAAAAATGACTGAGTTATGAGCCAAAAACCATATGCCCATATTTGGGCATACGCATCAAATTTGGTAGATTTCGTCCCATAAATTGGTCAAATATCCATATTTTTGAATGAGACTTACTTTATATGAAAGGTAAGCCTAAACTACATATTCTCTGTAAGTTATAGCTTTATATCTATTTAAATGTGGATACTAAGACGAAAATACCCCAAAAAATGAACAAAATTGCCCGTATCTTCGTTCGCGCTATTCGCGGAATTGATTTCATTAATTTGGAAATAACTCAATCAGTTTTCAAAATTTTTGCATGAAATTTTCGGAATAGACTCTAAATCGCATTTCCACCTTATTCTAGGAAGCCGATTTTTGATTTAGGCCTCCAAAAAAATTTGGCGGCCAAATTCTGAATTTTGCCAGGCAAATTTTGAAATTTGGCAGCCAAATTTTTTTGGAGGCCTAAATCAAAAATCGGCTTCCTAGAATAAGATGGAAATGCGATTTAGAGTCGATTCCGAAAATTTCATGCAAAAATTTTGAAAACTGATTGAGTTATTTCCAAATTAATGAGTTTAGGCTTACCTTTCATATAAAGTAAGTCTCATTCAAAAATATGGATATTTGACCAATTTATGGGACGAAATCTACCAAATTTGATGCGTATGCCCAAATATGGGCATATGGTTTTTGGCTCATAACTCAGTCATTTTTTGTTCAATCTTGACGAAATTTCATATACGAGTTCAGGAGACCACGGGGTATGAGAGGTTATGGAGACTGGGCGGTAGTTAGCAGCCGGTCCCCTTTCTTGGACGCAGGTGTGATGTACTGTGTTTTCATGCCAGATAGTATCATGGCTCCGCTATCAAATAAGTCTTTCCAAAGTAGATATAACGTTCCACAATAAAATACACTAAAACCTTAATCTGTCAATAAGCTTTGCAAATGTTTTATGTTATTGAGTCTCTATGAACGATCTTATCTCCAACATAATGCTTTCCCCTCCGTAAATATAAGCCACTTTATACTTAGATATTGTGTAGAAATTACAAGCTTTTGTAGACCCTTTCCCCTGAGGCTGGTTCATTTAATATGTAATGTTATGTGGTTAATAAGGCGAGAAGTGTTAATTAATTAAGGGTGATATTACTTTACGAAACGAAAACGTGAAAAAGTATTCAATACCCCGCCATTATGCGACACGAATATTGTATGATATATAACTAAATAATTTACAAAATTCGGTCAGGTGCCCATGTCTGAGCGACATACAAACATTAATTAGTCCTGCTAAGCAACAATGCAATGTACCAGGTGTGATTAATAGTCGCATTTAACGTAAAATTGTTATAAATCACCAAACATAACCTTGTCCTTAGCCAAAAACATAAAATAGACAAGATTTATCCTTTTATCATGGCATAAATAGTTAAACTATAAGGTATTTACCCAGTTTGAAATGGACTATAAACGATCAGAGCATGCCCCAGTGAGTCCCAGCCAGACCAGTACCCATTAGCCTGGTTTCGGATGTCTCATGAGATAGCGGTAGTTCCTACATGATGTCTACATGACCAAGTACATACCTCTCAATCAACACCCTGTGCCTCTTAAAAACGGGAGAAAATTGTGTTTTTCTCAATGATGTCCTGAAGATAGCTCTAATATAAGTAAAAACCCGGTTTTAGCTGCAATGATGTCCTGAAGATAGCTCTCAGTAAAAACCCGGTTTTAGCTGCAATGATGTCCTGAAGATAGCTCCAAGTAAAAACCCGGTTTCAGCTTCAATATCGATGATGTCCTGTAGATAGCTCTTAGTAAATACCCGGTTTTAGCTGCAATGATGTCCTGAAGATAGCTCTAAGTAAAAACCCGGTTTTAGCTGCAATTAAACGATGACTATAAGTTATAACGTGAAATACTTTCCTACAATACTCGACTCAAACGCATGACTTGAAAAGAGATGAAAACTATTCAATATCGATTGATTCTTGATAAGAATAGCGTACAACTCATTGATGTGTTTCAAATGATGGAATATTCGAGATGCACCCATACTGTTTGCACTTGGTACTATTGTCTAATGTCTAATTGTCCATAAACGTTTGCCTGCCCCTTATTATTTATCCAATCAAGACGATAGGTTTTATGTGACACTCCTAGTGCACGGTTTCACCAGGATAATGACTAAAGCGTTTATCCACTTTCTTTAGAGCCTTCCAAATTGTTTAAGTTATTGTTTAAGTTATTGTTTAAGTTATTAACCTGTTTATGTTCGAATTATCATAAATTCACATAACGTATCAATATGGGATAGTGAATATCAATATCAGTGGTCACTGGTCGAAACAATTGAAATATTGTAATTAAACATAATTTAAGGAAAAAGAGATTCTAGAGAAGAGAGATTCTTTCGAAAGAAATATAAATTGTGACAGAGTGGCACAATTATAACGATAATGGTATTAAAGAGTGGAAACTGCACCATACAACTTTAGGGCAGACGTTTGTCACACGAATCTCACAGTTGATAGGTGAAAATTCTGTTTTTCCTTCACTAGCGAGCTCAACAAATGAAACAAGCAGTTCTCAATCTCACAGTATTCGTGAATCAAGGGTTGTCGTGTGTCCACTATCCGTAACATTTTAGTGGTAGCACCACTATATTCAGTGCATACTGTGAACATAGTACTATTAACTTATTAACTATTAACTATATTATATTGATATCGATTATCGATCCAAATAACTAAATATCGTAGCACAGCTTTACCGGGGTTTTACAGAACCCTAAATGTTTTATAAATACCCTTGCAGGTATAATACACGTATTTACACTCAGCTCTTAGTCTTGAGTTGAATCAATATCAGATTGGGGCTGCGATTATAAAATACAATAATTTTTTCCGGTCTCTGATTGAAAAAATGTGTAATGTGATACGTGTAGATCATACAATATATTGTGCAATATATAGTGCGCAACTGTTATCTTACTATATATAAAGCGAGACGATATATATATATATATCTGTGCCATTTTACTGACACCACGGCATCAACTTTAACGCGACTTTCCGCAAAAACCGTAAAAGATATACAACTGAAACTTTTTTGACTGGGTCAAATGCTTTTATGCTTTTCAAATCAGCATGAAAAAATAAAAAATTGGCCAAGGAATAAGAGTTTTAGAGCCCAAAATTTGGACCCGCAAGTGGTGTCAAAAACGCGAATTAAATAGGTAATAATTATTTTAGTCTCTTGAGTCTTGACACCATTTTAGGATTATACGGGTTCCTGCTAGTTTGTTATAATGCCCTCAGGGACGTTATATGTGATAATGTGTCATGAGGGTGAAAAGTGATAACGCTAAATTTTTCTCAGGGAGCATTATCAAAACAGGTATAGGAACAGCGAGAGACCACTTTCATTTCTCGGGCCGCGCAAACCCCCTCACTACGTTCGGGTATTATCTGTATCATGCGCGGCCCTCAGAGCGCGAGAGCATTATTGCGTTATGATTAACTTCCCGCACTGCTCATCAATAGTCACATGGATCTGAGAATATTCCCGTAGACACGTCTTCCGCCCGAAGTTTGAGACCTGGAACGGCTCAAGGGACCCCTCAGAAACAAATTTGGCTTGGGTAAACTTTCTGAATATGGGGCAGTTTTGTGCAATTGAACACGCCCTTTTTTGGTGCTTTCGCGATATCTAAACCCACATATTTCCACTTCTGATTAAGATTGGAGAAAGGAGATCAACTTGGGTATGAAAATGGTCAGAATCATCACATTTAGGAGGGTAGAACATGGTTTCAAAGTCTTCACACTTAAGGTTGATGAGTTATATGACCACACCCTTTTGCGGTCTCGCGAGTAACAATTATCACACTTATTTCAGGATATCTCAGCTTCTAATTGGAGCTAACTGCTCATCTTGGGCATTAAAATGGTCAGAATCATCACATTGACTGGGGTAGAGTATGGTTTTAAAGTCTACAGACTTCAGGTTGTTGAGTTGTTAGGTCAAACCCTATTTTTACGCTCTCGCAAGTCGCAATTAATGTACTTATCACAACATATCTCAGCTTCTGATGGGAGCTAAGCGCTCAATTTGGGCATTCAAATTGTCAGAATCATCACATGGAGTGGGGTAGAGTATGGTTGTAAAGTCTACAGACTTCAGGTTGTTAAGTTATTTGGTAATAACTCATACCCCATTTTTACGCTTGTATACAAGCACCATATACATTGTACAGTGTACAAGCACTAACTATTGGCAAACAATAAGTACGAACATAAAACTTATAGAGAAAGTTCTGACTAAGCACTTACCTATGGGTAAGATAATACACGTTCAGCCATTACGCTTATACTTTATATTGTGAATGTGATCTAAGCCCATACACTGCACTATTAAGGACAATGGAGTTGAAAGGATATGAATACGGATAGGTAGCGATGCTAAGAGTATGTTAATCTCAATATATCACCTATATAACAGGATGCCCCGACCATTGGTAAAAGTTTTACTTGCAGCCCATATTGGCACAGGATGTGACACTCCGTCAAGAATAGGTACCAAATTTGCGTCATTGAATGCTATTCCTGAAATGTACCTTGAAGGCTTTGATAAAGAAGAACTTGATGAAGCACAGGTCAAGAAATGCAAGGAATACTTGGTGAAAGTTTTCAAAGATATTATACATACTTAGTGTTGTCACTTTTTTACACTAGACACTTCCCTTTTTTACACTACACTTCCCCAAATTATCTTCTCAAAATCTTCTTTTTTCCTAACATTTTCCCATCAGTCTTCACATAGTACATTTCCAAAGGCAAAACAGGGGTAAAACATATCTTTGGTGAGAAAGAAATGTCACTTTTTTACACTTGTTTAGGCTTTTTTAAGCTATTTTACATTAAACTTTTGCCTTTTTTATGTATGGTGTAAAAAAGTGTGGAGAACCCCCCCCCCTGTCATGTCCTGTGGTGTTCTTGCTATTAATATTACACCACTGTCGAATGTCGATGGTTTGCGTATTTTGATTGGATTACAGCTATACTAAGATCACCGCTGATGTCCGATTCAATCTGACAACACTACAGTCCTTCAACCTTTATCAATAAATAACGTGTCATAATATTGAATCAAGATACGTAAATATATCCACCACGTGACATGACCATATTTGGTGATCACGTGCTCTGATATAGAGTACAGAACAATTAAATCACGGAGAAGTTTTGTCGTCAATAGTACACAACAAGCTCCAACAACACCACGTGATATACTTGCTAGATGACTGCATAATAAAACACATTTTACACAGGTGCACACCAGAGCTTGTCGTACTTTCTGTCGTAGTGTGTTTTAATCACTTTATTAGTCTGTAAAGAGTATATTTTGATCTCTAACATGAGGATACCCAGCTGGTGGTTACTTTTCGTGGTAATGTTTAGTGTTCTGCATGTTATTGTAACGTATCTTTCGATTGTCAGTATTAACATGCTTAAAATGTACCAGCTTTGCAGGTTGTTTGGCATTAACTTTCCAATAGGTGTGCAATTTGAATTCGAGTTGTAATTTGTGGATTTTGTTCTTCTATTAACTTTTCTTAAACTTGGAGTTCAGTCACGAGTCGTTTGTCATTGAAAACAAAATGTTCAATATGAGCCAACAGATATATGTACTATGTAGCCGGTAGATGTGATCTAGCTGAAGATGACAGCTCAGTCCTTTCAGGTCCTGATTTGCAGTTGTTCCAGTTATGATGTTTGTCGGACTACTGCTTATCTCAGACATTAGTTAGTAAATTTATTTTAATAATCATTCAGTTACCACCGGAGTTTGCTTATTACATTCATTACAAATCGATCGTAGTTCAAAAGTTCGCAATGCTGATTTGATTATTTCGTTTGAAAAATTATCTTCAGGAATATTGAATTGTGGAAGCTTGGAATAAGAAGTGCCATTAACACTGATTAACTTCAACAAACAAATTGTTGTGTTGAACATGAGGAAGTGTACTTATTCACCTATTTTCAGTTGTCCAGACAGATTTGAGTGTTGTGGAGAAGACGGGATACACTGCTGTGTTATTGATAACACCCTCAAGTAGTGAGTTTTACAACTTCTTTACGTGGGGGAGTCATTGAATTTAGTGTTTGTGACACTTAAGGGGGGGGGGGGGGGGGGGGCAATGTGTATTTTTTTGTGAAACTTGAATTCGAGATAGCAGTTGGCCAACAAACTAGGACCAGTGACCAAACGGTGCGCGCAGGGCAGCCACGCCCATATTTGGTCCAAATTAGGCCCAATTTAGCCAAATACCCTGAACATGCCCAAAATCCAGGTTTATGGTGCTCTACTTGTAGCTAGTGGTCTCCTAAACTCGTATATGAAATTTCATCAAGATTGGACAAAAAATGACTGAGTTATGAGCCAAAAACCATATGCCCATATTTGGGCATATGCACCAAATTTGGCAGATTTCGTCCCATAAATTGGTCAAATATCAATATTTTTGGATGAGACTAACTTTATATGAAAGGTAGGCCTAATCTACATATTCTCTGTAAATTATAGCTTTATATCTGTTTAAATGTGGATATACTAATATCTTAATATAAGGCGAAAATACCCCAAAAATGAACAAAATTGCCCGTATCTTCGTTCGCGATATTCGCGGAACTGATTTCATCAATTTGGAAAATAACTCAATCAGTTTTCAAAATTTTTGCATGAAATTTTCGGAATCGACTCTAAATCGCATTTCGACCTTATTCTAGCAAGCCGATTTTTAATTTAGGCCTCCAAAATAATTTGGCGGCCTAATTCTGAATTTTGCAGTGCAAATTTTGGAATTTGGCCGCCAAATTTTTACGAGCACCATAAACCAGGGTTTTGGGCATGTTCAGGGTATTTGGCTAAATTGGGCCTAATTTTGACCAAATATGGGCGTGGCTGCCCCGCGGGCACCGTTTGGCGGTTAGGGTCCGGGACCCCCTCAAAAGTTTGGGCACTGATCCTTGTTTGTTGGTCAAAAAATACCCATTGGCTGCCCCCCCCCCCCCCCCCCCCCCTTAAATTGTAGGTTTATAAACTACCAAGACGCGCGCCGAGTTGGACTCGTCGACGGTCTTGGAACATAATATATATATTTGGAACAAATATTTTACGAGTATCACCCGTTAACACTTAAACCGACCAATTTATCAAACTTAGAGGGAACTTAGAGTTTAAGCATTTAAAATAAATAAGTGAGAGCACTTTGTAATTGCCAAGAATATGTATCAACCTTTCAAGATGGTCAAGAATTTCAACAACTTAAAATGTATGCAGTGTCAGGGTTCACAAACAGTCATTTGAAACTACAAGTTTAGTTAAGGTTACAAGTGCTCTCACTAATTTAAATGGTTACTCTCTAAGTTTGGTAAATTCATCGGTTTTACTCAAAGTTGAATTTGTAGAAGCTAGGCCATTATAAATTAACCAATGAATTGAACATGTTGATTTTTAAATTGACTCATAACCAAATAAGGGCCCTCTAATATGTAAACCCTCTCCTACTGCAGTCAACTATAAATGTTTTACCGCTATATTTCTTAACTACTGTACTGTATTTTTCTGCTGCCGGCAAAATCCCATTCAGGAATTTCCCCTAAATATGATAATAGTATCTCGTTAATTCACCATTAAGTATTTCGCAGTCTCTTGATTGATAAAACACTGCAGCAAGAAGAAGAATGACTAGTTTACACGATGACCTGTCACCTTTGTGGTGATCGTAAATAGATCTCAAATAATTCGAAAACTTTCATTTTCACTGCCACTCGAAGTTTCTGAGTTAACATATCATACGAGCCTTACTTAATGAGTACAGCCAACTCTAACGAGGAACTTAAAGATATATCTTCTCTTAATCGCGTCAAAGGCTGAACTCACGTCAATTCTTATTTTGAGAACTCCCATTCTCTGTTCTTGTCTACGGAAACCGTTCGATGCTTATTAAAATCAAATCTGCGCAATTTCTACCATTTGTATAGGCAGTCATGATGCGATCTCTGCACTAATAATGACATTTTCAAGTGACAGTTTCTTCAAAACTCATCACGTGATACGTCAGTCGGGGTCTCAAGAGGTTAAACCCAATCAATTGTACTTGGCTTGTATAAGTACTAAGTGTGATTCAAGGTATTCCTACGAAACACATTTCATTACTACTATGACGTCATATGATGTAGACCTATGAAATTAAGAAAAGTGATTTAGCTTGATAATCTGAAGTCTAGACACACGATCTTAGTTACGTTTTGAGCTTTCATGATCAGGCTGACAAGCAAGTAATAATATATAACGAGTATAAGCGAGTAATAATAATATAATAACGGTCAACAGAACCTTTGCGAGCGAGCAATTTTCTCATAGCAAGTATCGAGAGGCTAGATTGTCTGACTTCATGCTATCCCCCTTTTGCCGTTTGATCCCCTTATATTGGCAGTTTGATCTCGGACGATCACGGACGACGATTTTAATTCGATTTAAGATCGTCAATCATCAGGCTGAATCCAGACTCAGCCGGATACAGCGGAGTCTCGGTCAACATTACGACACTGGTTTTAGAGAAGAGTTCTCTGACAGGAGCACACATTTGACTACTTCTAGTGGATGTCACCCCTGCAGATTTCGTCGATTTCAGGTGCCGTCGGCACCATAAAAATTAAAAGCAAACATAAATTTTTTCCCCTAAAATCGAACGCTTTCTGCGCAAAAAATTGACCTCAACAGAAAAAATTAAACATGGCTTCAAATCCAAATTTGAACCAGAGATTTTTCACTTCCTCTCGATAAACTTAATTTTCAACCCAAAATAAAGTCTCAAAGGGGTAAATTACTCAGGTCAGGATTGTAGGCAATGATTATGCCAAACCATACATTTTTGTAAATTCATTAAACTTTCAATTTAGCCTAAAACACCCTATTTCGCAAAATTTTTCCGGGGGGCTGCGCCCCACTAGCCCCCGCCAATGTGGTCCGCCCTTTGCCTGGACCCCGCTGGGGGCCGCCCCCCAGACCCCTGCCACAGCTTGCAGCTTCGCTCGCCGACAGCCCCCCCCCCCCCCCCCCAAAGAAAAATCCTGGCTACGTGCCTGAGCAAAATATAGGTTAAGGGCTTTTCAGATGATTTGGCTCCTCAACAGATACCGACGTACATAGCGGTCAATATGTAGTTTAGGTTTACCTGGCCCGTAGGTTACGAATGTGCCCGAGGAGGAAAAAAAAGCAAACTTAAGAAAATTTCTCGGGAACTTAAAAGTTCACCTCAAAACGAAATCTGCACCTATGGTGGATGTAATGGTTTTACTGAGATGATCTGCTCCAGCGATTGCAATATCACTCAGTGGTCTTGTAATGTTTCTAAATGTAGTATTGACAGACCTGAGGTTTAATCTGAGGTGTTAAGCACGGAGCAAAATAAAGTTAACAGGATCAGAGACTGAATCTCTTGGGAAGCGGAGGAGATATATTGGAGGCTCCAGTTCTAATATTACCCGTTACGTCTATGTAGGAAAGCTGCTTAAGTTGCTTACATTAAGTTGTATTACTTAACCATTTAAACGTGGATTCAAGAGTGTCATTAACCTTATAACCTATAGCTTTTCAGCAGATTTTATAATAGGTTGTAGAACGTTTAACCAAACACGGTAGTAATGATGTCTTATCAGCTATGTCCGACCTTTGCTTTTTTAACTGATGCTAGCGCTGTTGCAATTTTGATAATCATAATGTAAGGGCTAACCCCGTTTTCACCATTCGTCTTTTGCCGTAAAAAATGGATGTTGCATCTCGATGGCGAGAACATTTTCACTATTGATGACGAAAAATTGTCAGGGATATATTTATTGTTTGGTCAAAAAAAGTTGTTCGCCGATTTCGACAACAAATTTTCGTTTGGATCAATATCAATCCTAATGGCACTCCCAAAGTGGAATATTTACAATTATCACAAAGTTTTTAATCAATTTCAGTGTCATGTTTGGAATGATCGGTTTTGTGGCGCTGGTAGCCATAATCTCCCTCGCTTCTGTGCTGCTCTGCCGGGCATTCCCTCAAAAGGTCTGTTTTTTTTTCAGTTAACTTATTGAAATTATACCTATCCTTTCTTAGTAATAGTTCTTAACCATTAAGATCCCTTCATCATCTAACGTTTTACATTTAAAACATTTTATTTATTATTTTTCAGATCGATATTTTGAAGGCTAAAGATGTCACCGTTGATCAGGTTTGCTGATATTATCAGCTAGACTGTCGAATGATAGTAGTACCGTGATACATCATTCTCATTTAAAGATAAACCATATCGATTCTTATTCTTGATAAGATGCTACTTTGATTATAGCCACTATTATAGCCACAATTATAGCCACTATTATAGCCACTATCCCACATCAGTTGAAACAGTCAGATAGAACAGGAGCTGTAGACCGGGTTAGGATAAGTTACCAAGATGCATGTTACCAGGAGGATCAGGCCTGGCTACAAGAGAAGGTTTGTAGTACTAGATAAACTCATAATTAGTGTAATTACTATAATATATGTGGATAATTATTATGATTATCAACCTAATTAGAGGTAATTTGAAATTTCAGTCCTTAAGGTGGGCTAAATGACTCTCAAACTCCCAGTGGAGGTTACTGTAAAACTGGTATACATTTAATTAGTACTGCTGCAATCAGACTATCTGGTTCCTATTAATTATTCACCTTCTCGCAGCAAAACGCGGAAGATGGTTTGCAAAAGCAAAGGATTGAGTTAGAGTTGGCAGAGAGTCGAGCTAGAATAGGATCTGAGATCTTGGAGAAAGCCCAAAGGAATCAGGAGGACTCTATCCACATTGATCAAGCTCTACAAAGAAAGGTTTTACTGATGATTTACTCAACCTCATTCTTTAAAAAGATGAATACTAGGCTATCCATTATCGGTATGAAATCTTTTATGTAGATAAACAGATAAAGATTTAGGTTTTATCTAGATAAAACCGATAAAACCGATAATTTTTCTGCTGAAGGCAAAAGCCAAAATGTTTTCCAAATTTCACAAAAACTAATTGTCGATTTTTATCACTGTTTACCAGTAATCTTGGTACAGTACCTTCCTTTCTTCTGAAAATGTTAGAGCACCAGTTTTCTTATCCTGAGAGCAGGGATGAACATCTCCTGAAAACAGTAGTTATTATTATTATCAAACTTTACACAAATCCAAAGTAGTTACTAAGAACATCCTAAAGACCTGATAAGTCTACTTAAAAGACTTGTAGAACTGAAAACTTACTATAAATACAAAAAATGGAACTTAAAACTGAACTTATCAAAATCAAAAATTATGCAAAAAATTGAACTTAAAACTGAAATTATTGAACTAAACAAATTTAAAATAAATTTCTCCACAATTGGCGGTTCGAGGCTAAATACCTTAAGTCTGTCAAGTCGTCACTATTATTCAAATTAATCTTTCTTTTATTCAAATCGTCTAAAATAGTTTTAAAAATATTACATTGATGTCTACCAATCCTTCCCCTCATATTTGACATACTATCAACAGCAAAATTTAGAGCTAGTTGTGGTGGTGAGTTGCAGTCGCTACGAAGAATGTGCCCAAACATTTTCCAGCGGGATTTATGAACTCTCTCTGAAAGTGGAGTTACATTGCAACGAGCATACAAGTCCTTGTTGCTGATGATGCGGGGATAGGTCATGTTGATGATACGTCTTAGATGTTTTCGTTGACACACATCAACTTTATTGATAATGTTCTGTGGAGCTGCCCAGCTGTTACAGTTGTACAATAAAACAGGGGTAACAAATGCTTCATACAGCTTGATTTTTACAGGAAGAGAAATGCGGGATTTCTCTGCCCATACCTTGCTGTATTTCTCAAAGGCAACGTAAGCAAGGATGCATCGGCGAGAGATATCAGCCTTACTGCAGAGCTTGGATCCAAGAGAAATAGTGTTGCGCCAGGGCTCTCTGTTCTTCACGGGTTCACCCTTGGCGTCTACCTCGTCCTTATCTGCAATGTAGAAGTGGACATGTTCTGTTTTGTCCTCGTTCACAAACAGGTTCCATTCTTCAAGGATCTCCTTACATATGGGCAGCATTTCTTTAAGAGTTTCCTCATCCTCATCTGCAAAATCGCCATCGTCGGCGTATTCCCATTCAATAGGCATGAGGGTCTCGGGGTTGAACGGTTGGTTAGGCCGAATGGTAATCACTACTGCACGGAAGTGGTACAGAGCTCCAGCAAAGTACAGTGTGAAGAATGCACCAGATGCAGCATCACCTTGAAACGAACCCTCGGATGTTTCAAACTCTAAAGAAATGGTTTTGTTGATTTTTATCCTCAATTTGGTGTTGGAGAGCAAGTATCTCGCCAAACGAATGTCATCCTCACAACAACCAGCATCAGCCAAAAGATCCAGGATAACTGATCTCTTGATGGTATCGAAGGCCGAGCTCATGTCGATTCCCATCTTGTGGAACTCCCATCTCTTCTCTTTCACAACAGAAATCAGAATTCGTTGAGTCCAGACAATATTGGCACAACTATGACCAGCCTTGTAGGCATTTTGCCATGGTCCTGTGTACTCTGCAATTTGTCTTTGAATTCTGTGTAGAGTAATCAAGGAGAGCAGTTTCCTAGTTCCATTCAGAAGGCAAAGAGGTCTGAGGCTCTTTAGAGGTCCTTTTGGTTTCCCTGGCTTCTGAAGAGGGGTTAGAAACCCTTCCGTAAAAGAGGGTACATGCTCATGTACTTCGAATGATCGATTAATGAGACATGCATATTGCTGGAAGAATACAGGTGGTGCGTACTTCAGCAGCTCGTTAGGAATCTCATCAGGACTTACTGCTTTTCCATTTTTCAACTTTGAAGCAGCATATTGGACTTCTAAGGAAGTTATAGGAGTATTCAGAGGACGTGGGAGTCCAGTGAAAGGTACCAAAGGAGGGTCTGAGCTGGTGTAGTGATTTTTAAACCACTCTCTAATGATACTTGCTTTCTCATCGTCACTTGCAACTAGCTGATTTTCAGAGTTGAAGACAGATATTGGCTCTGACTCTTTGTTGGCAGCAAGAGCTCTGGTAGCCTCGAACATCCTCTTCGTGTCATCTGCAGCGTTGATGGTGTCAGCTAGTTGGTTGGCTAGAGCTGTTCCTAGCACTTTAAAACGTTTATTGATATCGTTCTTGAGTTTATTGATACGTTTTCTCAATACTGTCCTGTCTCTAACTGAATTGTCGTTCAGTTCTTGTAAAAGTTTGTGTCTCTCGTCAGACATATTACATACATGCTGATCTGATGAATGATGATGTCTTTGGGTTTTCTTCTTGACACCCACAGTGTTAGAGGCTGAAGACTTGATAGTTTCAAACAGCTGTTTGAATCCTGTCTTAGTGTCAGCGGAAGGTGGAAGACTGTCAATTTGCTGAGTGACAGTTTGCTGGTACTGATCTTGTAGTTCCTTGTTACAAACCAGCGATGTCGTGTTGTACCTTTTAGCAGCTGATGTACTGTTTCGGTATAACTTAGTTTGCTGCCTCAGGTCTATGGTAGCTTTTACAATCTTATGATCAGAATGTAGTTTAGCTCCTGCATAGGCCCTTGCATCATTGAGAAAAACAGTGCTGCGTGACCGGCATAAAACATAATCAATCTGAGAAAAATAAGGGCGACTTCTTTTGGTCTTCTTGTCTTTCACCCAACCAGTTCTTGTGGTTATATGACGACTGGAATGACGAAATGCAGTGTTTGCAGCAAACAAACCATTAGAAACAAGAAAATCCAATAATCTCCCACCATTTTCATTTCGTCTTCCAAAACAGTAGTACACTAGTTATCTTCAAAACAGTAGAGCAACATTTTTTGGTTGTTCTTATTCTTTATATCATCCCTTATTCCCATTTCCCACTATTATATAGTTGATAATACTCTACTTCAGATTGTCTGTGATGGCAGAGTTTTAAAAACTCGCATCCTATGGGACCTGGCAGTAGAACTAACAAAGCGAGACCCTCTTACTCTGGCACCGATCATTGAGAAGGCTAGAAGGAAAAAGATCAACGAAGAAGAGAGAATCTTGAAGTGGGCTCGGGAAATACTTTTCTTCTTGGAGTAGTAAGTTTGATGTTCTGGTTTTTAATGTCAAACCTTCCATTTTTAGAGTCTCATACTCAGTAAAAATAACACTATATAAATTAGTTTAGCGCACTAGTAACTCTGTTGAAATTTCCAAATATTTCCACTTTTACAAACATTCTCCACTGCCCGCAGTGCTGACGCGTTGGAGAGGGCATTAGAAGGGGGCTCATACGAAGAATTGTGTAATATTCTAGCTAAAATTAGAGATCTGGGCTTTGAGAAGAAATGTGCTCGACTCGTCTTCCGAGCTAAACTCAAAACGGAGAGGATTGAAAAGTTTCAGGTAAGAAACTGGGTAAAATTTTAATTTTTCATTACATTTGCTCTATAATGATACACTGAGTATTACAAGGAAGTAATCAAATCTGGAAAAAGGTAAAATAAAATAAAGGTAAAACATCAGTTTCATACTCAGCACCTGTTAAAAGCTGTGTTGGAGATGAACCACATGCAGATGCAGGATCTCATCGATTACTCCGACCCGGATGAAGGGGGTGATAACCCTGCACCAGAATCCCTTATGAGGGTATGACAATTGTCACAGCTATTCTGTTTTCAACCTACTTTTTATATCTTCTGTACTTATCAATTCACGCTATTTAAATAAATGTTTGCATCATCCTGAATTATCCCAATATGTAATTTTATATATTATACAATTTATATGTAATTTATATGATGTCACCGTATAAATAAATTAATATAATAATAATATAATACATGTAGATTGTAGATATATCTGTATTATATCATAGCATTCGTTTATTTAAACGGTGAGATCACACTCCGTAACACTCTGTAACACTCCGTAACATACTGTAACACTCGGTAACACTCTGTGAGTAACTCCGTAACACTCTATAACACTCCGTCTCCAGGTTCTGCAGGCAATAGCAAAGTTACTAGGGGGTGAGGAGGAGTGCTGGATGGAGCTCCAAGCGATGGTTACCAGAATGGGAGAGGGCTCTCTTAAACGGAGGGCTATGTGCTGTGAAGTTGAGATGATTCCTCCTGAAATGTTAGTTGTTTGTCATCTGTTGAAGATTAGTGTGTATGTAGTTCACTGATCTTTTTATTGGGTTAAACTTCGAAAAAAAGTACTCGTTAAATAAACAGTGCTGAATGTCGCATACTAGAATCCTCGCTCGATTTAATGTTACCTACACCGCTAGAAGCCATTTCCTAATTAAAATTGTACCTTCCTCCGAAGTACTGGATAATGTATTCATACTTCCTAGTAACGGCCGGTCCAAGGGCCTGGACTCATCTGGTTATCATCATTTATAATTTATAAGATAAACAAATCATTAGTAATATATTTAAATTAAGGTCCCTAAAATTGCAGGAGAAACAGTTTATAAACCGCTGCCGAATATAATCACCACATCACAATGGCTACAAAGTCATTATTATTGAACAAAAGTGATCGCTTTTGTTCAAGAATAATGACTTCGTAGCTAATTAAGGATATCGATCTTATTATGTAAATGTTCACTGCAGACCCATAGTGGTTAATGTTCGAAACTTTGCCGGCCGTAATTGCCTAATCTTCGCAGAATAACAGAGGTTTCGACGCTGCTAAAAGAGATAGATGATATAACGATCCAGGAGGAATGTCCAATTGCTCTACCCATGTACAAGTTAGTACTGACCATCTGGAAATTATCCGCAAATTATCTTTTTTCGTGATTATTAACTCCGTGAAGTGCTTATCTGAAAAATTGCCGTTTTTCGAGCGACCATAAAATCTGTAGTTATTAAGTAGTTGGATACGTGAGCAAGTTAATTACCTGGTCGCGCGCTTTACAATTTATTTGAATCAAGTTCTCTGGATATGATAGTTTAAATCGCTTACCATATCCTTAATAATAATAACTCACGTTTGCTCCGTTCATTGGAATATCTTGTCCCCTGTTCAGATGGTGCCAAAGTATAGTGGAGGAGCGGTTTATAATGAACGAGGAGCTGCACTTGGTGAACCAGGAGAAGTTAGCGGCTATCCCAGCTCCACAAGTCTCTTCTATCAATAGTCCCAGAACTAGGAAACACAGGATACAGCCTATCTAAACAGGATACAACATACCTTAGACTTAATGCTGGGGTTCTTCTGAGCTGAAGAGGACATTATTCCAATAACGAGACTTTCACTTTAGGTAGGAGATACGAAGAGTCTCACTGTGACATATACAATGTAGACAGTTCCGCGGCGATACAATCGGTGTTGAGGGACTAGATATTGTCTACTGTATAATGTGACCAATGAGCTTGTTATTAAGAGAATTGTCGACTGTATTATACACAGTCTTGATGAGATGCCTTTGTTAAATATGAGCGGGACTGACAAGTCGTTGGTACTTCACGAAGGAGCTACAGTTACTATCTAAAGATTTAAGGGCGATAAGTGTCTAATACTATAGATATTATCTCTGACACACTGGTACCCCTTGTTACCAGCTTATATGTAATAGAAATAGCAGGCAGCACGTCTCTCTAGACTATATGTTGCCTACTTGACGAATATGCACCGCGCGAGATTGCTCATATAGTACCATAATAAGATAATATGGTCTTACCTCCCCAACCCTAATATAACTCCGAAACTAACCATAACCACGATCAGATTTGCGTTTTAATAGCCTGTTACGTGACCAAAACAAATTTTGACCGTAATTCCTCATGGATGCATTTTTACCTAACGTAGTTTGGGTGATTCGGAATCAGCGTTCAAAATACATCGAATGAAGTCACTTTCATGCCACCAGGGCCTTTACACACGATTTTTTATTTGGGCGATCGATTTAGTGGGAGCTCCACCAGCATCCTAGGTCCTTGTAACACGAAACATTTACTGGTATATTTGAGGTAAGCTATCGCATGGGATGTTTCATATTCATGGGACATTTGGCGTCAGAACGAGGCCGAGGCTTGTATGTGCAAAATTAATTATGAATTCATACATTGGAAATATCGAACAAAGGCACTTATTATAAAAGGACCTCATCAATTGGTCGGTTGCTTTTGTCGCGTTACCAAGTTAACGGGACTATTGGTTTATTATGAGATCTTTACCTAGTTACCTGTAAATACCTAGTTACCTCATATTTGCGCTTCTTTTGATAGTTACGATCGTTGCACCAGGCACCTTGTACGGAGCTGAATAGTGGTATTAGTAAGTATTGGCCTTATATTTGGCAATTTGATATTGATAACCTTCGAGTAACGTTATCTGCCGCTTAACTAGGGACTCAAATTTGGGGTTTTGTTAAATATCAAAATGTTCTGTGGCGGACAAAAATATGGGCGTTACGGCGAAAACCTCAATTGTTGATTATAAAAAGCCTTTCAACATCCTCGAAAAGATAAGCTGTGCGACGTAATAAATGTATAAGCAGGTGTTTTAGTACGATTAGCAGTCCAAAGTTTCTCACGCAGCACACTTTTATGATGAGTTCATGTGATGGGTCTTGTCGAGCCTGATAATGTGAAACATTCCAATAGACAACAAATAACATCTGTTCAGCTCATATCGGAAAAGTTGCTCGTCATTTGTGTCTGCTGTGGGTACTGTCAATATTGGCTTACTTGCCGCATAAAATAGTTCCAAAAGTGAAACCTGAAAAAATTGCGACATGCAGTTCCAGCAAAAGGTGACGATTTTTCCACCAACCTTGTCAATAATGCCTCGTGCTTTTCTGAAATAACGTTGGTTTTGTCGTCTGTCATTCGTATCTCTTGTCTACTCAGTACTCTGTAGTTTACTTGAACCACGTCAGGTGTTGGCCTATTTGGCGTTCATCTGAGTACCCATTCAGCTTATATCGCTCAGCAGTAGGGTTTTATAATTTTCCTAAAAATTGGAACCCCTACATTTGTAATTTGTAAGCTTCAGCTTGGGGAGTAGAAATCGTGGACAGTTAAATTACAAAAAGCGACACTTGAGATTTGCGACTTGGAATGGTACCCCAGCTTCGGTAGTACCACGATAATTGACCTGACAATTATAACGATTATAACAATTATAACAATTATAAACTTTAGGATCCAACTTTAGGATCCAATAATGAGTGTTGGACGTCATAACTTCGTCAGAATAGTTTTTTCGTTCTAATTTGTGGCAGACCTCCGTGGAGTGAGTTCTGTTATTCAATTTGAATGCTTATTAATTCATACCGCTGTTTTACTTTTCCTTGTGAATATGATTGATATTTAGATATTTAAATGTTTTAATAGCACTAGCAATCGAATAAAATCATACAAACTCATATCGGATATCATACTATAATTATATGACTATAAGATTTAATTATACGAGATAATTATACGTTAATCACACGACCATGATATAGAAGACCTTTTAAATTTTATTACTAGAGTTCCTACCAATCAGTTCACTGATGCAACCAATCATGAATGCAGCCCAGTTTCTTTGCAGCTATTAATTGATGGACACTGGACAGAGCAAACGAAAAGATTCTGTAGCTCTTTCGGTTATGCTAATTATAGGTCATAATACCCTCTTAACTCTTATCAAGGGGCACTAAACTGATTGATTATACAAACTGTGCGTATATTATACAGGTTATTATTCACGCGTAATCAGCAAAGCATATCCTCTGAGTCTGACTTGCAACGTGATCCAATACTTACTATGCCACAGATCATGACTAATGCGGCTGGGCTATTGTCTCAGATCGTTTGCGATGGTTCTCAATAATATCCAGCTGGACACAAGACAGCCGCTCTGCTGGTCTGAGCGACCAGGACTGCTCTAATTATAGTTAGCAGTGGTGTTAAATATACTGTAGTTCTTTCATGGAAACTGAATCTCTTTATTTCTGTTCACTTTTCGAGAAGAGCAGAGTCTAGTTTTAAATATTCTTCATGTCGGTGGTCTGTTTCTGTGAACATTTAACTAATTTCAAACGAATTTCAATTATTGAAGGCTTAACCGTGGAACATTTCCTGTTTGTTCGATTTAATGTCAGATTTAAGGACAGAATTTATTCGATAACGATCACTATCAGTATTTAAGCCATCAAAATTACTTAATACCATAATCTTTCCCAAATTTCATAATTGTTTCTAAATCTTTTACCTTGGTAACTGTCAGGGTTAACCGGGTTATATTAAGATCTACAAGTTACAACCTTAAACAATAGATCTCGCTCTCTCTCTCTCTCTCTCTCTCTCTCTCTCTCTCTCTCTCTCTCTCTCTCTCTCTCTCTCTCTCTCTCTCTCTCTCTCTCTCTCTCTCTCTCTCTCTCTCTCTCTCTATATCTCTCTCTCTCTATCTCTCTATCTCTTTCTCTATCTCTATCTCTCTTTCTCTATCTATATATCTCTCTCTATCTCTCTTTCTCTATCTATATCTCTCTCTCTATCTCTCTCTATCTCTTTCTCTCTCTCTCTCTCTCTCTCTCTCTCTCTCTCTATATATATATATCTATCTCTATCTCTCTATATCTCTCTCTATCTCTCTCTCTCTCTCTCTCTCTCTCTCTATATCTATCTATCTCTATCTCTCTCTATATATATCTCTATCTCTCTCTATCTCTCTATCTATCTTTCTCTATCTCTCTCTATCTATCTCTCTCTCTCTCTCTCTCTCTCTCTCTCTCTCTCTCTCTCTCTCTCTCTCTCTCTCTCTCTCTCTCTCTCTCTCTCTATCTCTCTCTCTCTCTCTCTCTCTCTCTCTCTCTCTCCTACAATCCAGGTCATATTGTTTATCCAAGTCACATTATACATCATCAAATACACTATTTGTATTGTTTCAGCAGCAACTCAACATTCTGCCTGTTAATGTTGGGATCACCAGCCACCGCCTGACTGTTCCAATAATAGCCTCATAATAGCCCCACTGTTAGCCACATAACCGACATAAACGCACTGGGAAGGACGATTTGTTTATAGTGAGTTGTAAGAGAGCTGCAGATTGTAGTCGCTTAGCCCAATATAGCCTGATAAGACCTATTGTCCGGGGATACAATAGCTTTGCCTGGAATTTAGGTTAGGCGATAAAGGACGTGTTCGATTGCTTAAATTAGATAAACGATAATTAAAGAATATTCTTGGAAGTTGGAACATACTCAACAACTTTTTGGCCATTCTGATTTCTGTAAGAGTCAGTTTTAATTTTATATCTTACGCGTTAAATTTGTGTGCACATATTTGTATTAAGATGAACAATTTAAATCACTAGTACAGCAACAAAAACATCAGACTAAATCGTATACCATTATTATTCACCTAATTATCCTGTTGGTTTTCATCCGGCTGACACGCCTGTAAATGTTTTACCGTGAGATGTGGGCTTGGGATTGTAATTCTGGTCGGATTGATCTGATCTGAATGGAGAAAATCCAGTTACAGAAAAACCAACCGGGATTTTAAGCTTTCTTCGCTAGAGCGAAAACTAAGAAGCCACAGAACTACCGTGATATTATCATGAACTTGGCTTACCAGGCCATGGTCTAGGCAGCTGCCGAGTACTTGCTGACAGATACTAGAAGTTGGGAGGATGAGACTTAGCAGTGAAGCTCACTACCTGACTAACAGTCGTCATATTACCCGGCGCGCCATTCCCTCCGCAAGCACTCGTGTTACTCTTCGCATATCCGTGACATATAGACTAGCAAGAGCTGTAGGTTAAATCGTTATACTGCCGAAGGATATATTTTTCAGGATCCCCGGCGCGGCTGATGCTGAGTCGTTAAATGACGGCCACACAGACAGATGTGCAGTTGAACTGTAAACTCCCCCGGCAGTGAAATGGATCAGCCCTCTCAACACTACCTTCACATGCTCCACTCTAACACAATATACCTTGTTGTGCTCATACCTACCACACGGCTCGCTCTATTTACTAACGTTCTTGTGACGTGGGTAAATTAAGTTTTAATGTGCGTGAAACGCCGGGTAAATCATTTGGACGCGGAGCTGGTCGTTTGGCTCTTGATACAAAAGTGTTCATTTCTGACAGACCGACAACTACAAGTATAATGAAAATATAAGTCTGTCCTAAAAACGCGGATGGAATAGAAGTGCCATCGCCCTATTTTAATGATTACGACTTGTGTTTAATGCAGGTTCCGTCCCGGTTTTTCAACCTTTGCTTTTAATTTATGGTTAAAATTAGGACTAAATTGTGTTTTAATGTTTTATCATATGCATTTGGTGCATATAAAAGTTACAATTATTGCAATATTTGACTTTACTTGAAGTTCAGATGAGGTAATGGGTAAAACTGGCCAGTCCCAACTGAATCGAAGCTGTTGTTTCCCTATCCCAAGATAATTCGTCCAATTAACTTAGCTGTAGTAATGTTAACTCACACTTTAATGCGGTGTGCATAAAAATGGAAAAATCATTGCAGACGTTTCCCGTTTCCGTTAATTCTCATGATATTAGAATATTTCAATTCTGAATTCACATCTTTGATCTTCCTACATCCTGAAACTCATGTGGTACAGGATGAGGTCAACCGTGAGGTCACAATGTTTCGGTTTATTATCTGTCCATTCTGGAGCAATAGTATTAGAGTATTGTATTATTGACCAACATGATGTACGTTACATTGTTACATCTCAACATTGTTTCAGTTTGTCGTATCTTTGATGTTGCTTGCGGATAACAACGTTGGTGTCACCGCATTTGATATTCCATTAATTATACCCGACAGTATTCAAGAAGCATGACCCATTGGATACTGCTGATTATCCATCTGGGTTACTTTGATAATGTTTGCTAATGCTATGATATGTGTATCCCCCATTGCAGAGGACGCGTAAGACTAATTCGAGATGAAATGCATCCCTTATATGTACTTTAAGTTATATTGTTGTTATATTGTTAATTAACGTACCTCTATAGTCTATATCTCCGTAAAAAGCACATCCATTTTCATACGTTTCCTCCACTTATAACATGCTAGATTCTGCTCATAACTGTTAGTCGGCTCCGGGAAGTCACTTTTCTAATTTTCTATGTTACTAAATTAGTCGCTGATTTCTTAACTGAAAGTTTGTATCCGAACCAACTGTTGCGAATTATTTGTTATTGAGGTCTGTCTGTATTTATGGAGTGATTTGTGTTATTTTTCGATATGATGTCTTCTTATCTTTATCTACATGAAATCTTCATGTAAATGAAATCTTGTTCTTCCATAATGTTGATTGTTGGTGCTGTATTATCAATAAAGCTGTGGACGCTGTGGACTGTAGTCAGCCTCATGGGGAAAAAAGGGGTGTGGACTAATGATGTTAACATACACATCGCGTATAACATGGTATAGTGTCTACAGCTAGTAGTGATTAATGTATTGGATAATGGATATAGTTCTTATCTGTTGTTTATAATGGGGATATAGACTTCAGCTATTGTATCAGTTTATTAATGCATTTAAACTTATCTGATCTTTTAATTTTCGTCTCCCTTTGTTTTTCATAGACAAGTAGCTTTGTCAAGGCTGACCAAGACAAAGCTACTTGTCTATGTTACTGAAGGAAGTTGGAAAAACTCTAAAGAGGAATGGCGAACCCTGATGCGGGACAGGGATATATAGAGGGGGTTATCTGGCGTAGATCGGACTTAGTTCCGACATAGTAGTAGTAATGATTCCAGGGATAATATCCGGTAGTAGAGACTAGGTAGGACAAGTGAAACTACTGTTTAGGAGGAAATGCGAGCTTTCAGTGTGCTACACTTTCATCAGGCTAAAATTAAAAGGGGTAGCACACTGAAAGCTCGCGTTTCCTCATAAACAGTAGTTTCACTTGTCCTACCTAGTCTCTACTAGTACTATAACCGGATATTATCCCTGGAATCATTATCTTATCATGAGACTGATAAACAACGAACCTCTCCAGAATCTCATAGTAGTAGTAGTAGTAGTAATTTGTTTGTTTGTTGTCCGGACGGTGCCGGTAGTTCTGATGACCAATTTACAAAAAAAGTTATATTCAAATAATATTATAAGTAAAGAGCTGCACCCCAATTTCAGTAGTCTGAAAACGTGAAAAATCAAAAATGATCGCTGCCTACATGTCAAAATCAATTTTATATCTCAAAGACTTTCAGTCTTGCATGGAAAATATAATGTGAAATATTATCTCAGTGATTCTAACATCACAATCACATTAACCGAGTCCTGAAAATAAATACAAAAACGT